GCTGTGGAATGCGAACTCAGACGACTGTAATCCAGCAGTGACAGGTACAAATTGACAACCTTCATATTGTCTTATGACCAGAAGTGGTGCATATCCAATTCCTCCCCATAATCCGAGCAGCATTATCCAATTGTAATCTCCACATTTGTAAAAGAATTCCCTTTGGATTTGCCACGGGGCTCGCCAAACAATATCATTGCTTTGCAGATTTCGGAAGGCATTAATCCACATATCTTTCTTAATTTCTTTCGGCCATTCCTGCTCCAGAAATTCTTTTAATGGTGAGTAATCCGTATTAAAACGTCGGTATGAAACTTTTTCTGTCCTCCAGAAATGACTACGGATCCAAACATATAACAACTGGGTACATCCTGAGAATCGTCCACCTCCTAGCTTTCTACAAGCATTTAACGATCTGAAGGTCTCTGCTAGGATTGCAGAAACAGGATTAATCTTTTTCGGTAGCTGTTCAAACAAATCTACCACTGCAGCTTCAACATATCCCAATACTTTTGGGAAGATGACCATACCATACATACCCAGAGCAAATAAATCGAATCGTACTTTAATATCTGGATGACTCTGAATAAGTTCTTTAATGTGGGTCCAAGCAATGCCTTCGCTTTCGCCTTTTTGTTTTGTACGGGATGCTACCCATTCTTCTCGTACCCCGGCAATCTTTGCTAATTTAACTCGAAAGGGTTGAGTTTTAATTGACTTTGAATAGATTCGATTCTCCAAAGCCCTTCGATATGTAACAAAGTTGTGTACTCTTCAATAGTAGGGACCAAGTCCTCTTTATTGAGAGTGAAGCAATTGTACCCTGGATTCCAGAATTGAATTAGGGCTCTGAGTAATTCATCATCAACTTCTACATAGAGCAAATATGGGATGTCTCCGTAAATCTGATAAAACTGCAATTTTTGTTTGAATCCCAACTTTCCCAAATGCTTCGCAAATCTTGCATATCATTTCTTTTTAGTAAAACTGGAGCATAACTGGCCAAGTCAGATACATAATCATCCTGCAGACTGTCTCCTTCTTGTCTTTGTAAGTCCTCAGCCCACTGCCTTACTTCTGAGTTTAGAATTACTTGATTTGAACACTTTTTATCCATAGATGAAGGCTTTCCAATGAGACAATTAACACAAGGATCAATGTCTTTTATCCTGTATGATGCTATGCAAACAGAAAAATAAAGAACACACAAAAAGAAAATGAATTAGTTTACATAATAAAGAAATTCAATAATAACATTTACATAAATATTTTTTATTTAAACATGCTTTTCTAAATTTAAATAATTTAAATATATATGTAATTTAATCAGTAACGAAAATAAATAAATAAAAAAGTTAGAATTCATTTCTCCTGTGTGTACACCTATTTTAGACAAAATTTTGGCATGACTTCGGATCGGAAGAGTTTCTAAGGTTTTTTATATGCAGGGTTTCAGATCTAAGAATAAAGGTACCCGAATTGTCCTTGTTAGTGCCCCCCTTGGGTTGCTAACCCTCAATCCTAGTCCATCACAGACTAAAGTGGATCGAGTTCAATTCGAGGGGATACATTTCTCTATGCCTGACACGGAGAATAAATTCTCACGAAGACATAGAGCATATGAACCCCGAAAGTTACTTGCTAGGTCTGACACGGAGAATAAATTCTCACGAAGACATCGCTTTCACTCTCACTTAAAAAGGACAACTCAATTAAAGAGCTTTATGTTATGCAATGCACGTGTTGTGTGTGAGGATAAATGCTCAAACCTTTGACAGCAAAATAAATAATGAAATAAAATAATTGCAAATAAAATAAAACATATAAATATTATGAAAATAATAAGTAAATATAAAAATTTTGAAAAGATAAAATTAAAAATTAAATATATGAATTTTTAATTTTTAATTAATAGAGACAATTCATAATTGATTTTTAAAAGTTTGACCGGTCCCCAGCGGAGTCGCCAAGCTGTCGTAACCGGTTTTCGCCCGGGCACGAATTTTGTACTTACTTGGCGGGAAAAGTGATGTGAATAAATGGTTTTTAAAATAATTTGGGAGTCGCCATCGGCCTTTTGGGTTAGGTAGGTCGAATACCTAAAAATTATCTTTTAAAAGAGTTTTAAGAAAACATCAGTTAAAAGATGAACTGATCTGCGTTTATAACCAAAAATTAGTTCTTTTTAATAATAAAAAGGGATTCGTGGTCGGTTACGTTTAGGGAAGGATTAGCACCCCTACAACGCCCAAAATTGGTACTTTTTAATTATAAATTGTCTCTATTATTAAAATTTAAAGATTCAAAAATATATTTAATTTATAATCCTATTATTTCAAAAAAAAATATTTATTTATTTAAAAATATCAGAAAAGAACTTCTAGGTGCCTTAAGACAGTTCTTTTCTTTGATATTGATAAATATTAATTTAAATAATATTGTTTAATTTTTAATTTTAAAATATCAGAATAGGACATCCAGTTGTATTAAGACTGTCCTTTTCTTCGATATTAAATATTAAAAAAATTTAATTACTATTTATTATATATATATTTAGGAATACATAAAAATATTTAAAAATATAAACAAGTAAACTTGAAATAAAAATACCATTAGAGTTATATATTTAAACACAATAAAATGCTAAAAATATTTAAAATAAATGACTAAATTATAGTAAAAGTAAAATTAAAAACCTAATTCATAATTAATCAAAATATTAGGGATTAAACATGCTATTTCTTTATTTTATCTATTTAGTGACTAAAATAAAATTATCTAAAATTCGGATATTATAATAAAATAAATTAAAAATATAAACTAGGGATTAAAATATTATTTATTAAAATTAAGGGATTAAATCTGTTATTTATCCTAAATATATTATTTTAATATAAAGGACTAAAATAAATAAAATTAAAATTTCAAGATCAAATTAAAAGTATTATGAATTTAATTTAGTGATTAAAATGTAAAGTTTACAAGTTCGGAGGACGGCGGACGGGGTTTAACTATTATCTAATTACGCGCATAGTCCTTCCCGAAACGACGTCGTTCGGGAAGGCCTATATAAGGTCCAAAACCGGCTGGCCCGAAGGGCCAGCTTCATTTCTTTATTTTTCCTCTCTCTCTCTTCTCTGAGAGAGAGAATTTTTCTCTCGCTTCTCTCTAAAACAGAGAGAAGCCAGTCGGCCGGCCACCGTCAAGTCCGCCGCCGGCCACCACATCCGGTGGCCGAAATATTTTTTTTTACACTGAAATGTAGATCGGACCGTCCTAATGACGGTTCCGATAATCTTTTCTTTTAAACGGCTCCGATCGGAGCAAATCTAAAAATATACCTTCGGTTTGTCGAAGGTTTTGGTGAGATCCGGTGGTCGGCTTCCTCGGTAAGTTTTTCTTCTTCCTTTTTCTTTCTTTTTGTTTTTTTTTCTGCGTGGTTGTTGAGATCGTTGGTAGCTTTTTTTATTTTGTTTCTCTGTATTTCTCTTCTCTCCGTTTCTGTCTCTCTTTTTTGTCTCTGTCTTCCTTTTTTTTTTTTCGCAGGTTCGGGTGGTGGCTTTTATAGCCACCACCGGTGTGGCCATCGGACCGGTCCGAAGAGGGGGTTTCGGTGAGTCACCGGACTACCAGTGGTGACTCACCCCTTAGCTATGGCGTGGACGGCTGGCGTTGGAGCTTCTGGAGCCTTCGTTTGGAACGTGGCAGCGGCGGAGGCGGCTGGAGCAGCAGCGGCGGCCGTGTGGCCTTAGGGTATCATACCCTAGGGTTTCCATCTGGAGGCTCTTGGACCGTTGGATCATACCAGATCCAACGGTCAGTCTGAGGCGGCTGGCTAGAGGCGGCTGAGCATGGGATTAGGGTTAGGAAACCCTAACTGAAACCCTAAATATTTTGGGTTTCAATTTGGTTTGGGTTTTGGGCCGGTTGATTGGGCTTTGTAATTTAATATTATTTATATATGTATTTAATAATAATAATAATAATAATAATAATAATAATAATGATGATGATAATAATAATAATAATAATAATAATTATAATATGGGTAAAAAATTAGTATCTTCAACTGTAACTCAAAAAAAGGGATTTGCAGCAACTTAATGGTCTCAGCTCTCTGTTTATGTTATCCGGTCTCAAGAGGTGAGTGTCATATATTATAGAGGATCATTCTGTGATGCTCATATTCGTGTATGTGTCTGACATTAATGTCGGCTGTTATGTTAAAAGAAAGCCTTATCATCAAAAGTTAAAAGTCACAATCTGAAAACCTAGAGATGTGTGATTAATCCGTGGTTACCATCTTTCATTGTTATTTGACCTCAAGTGTAAACATCAGGCGACTATCGGACATAAATACTTCAAGAAAAATAACGAATCGGAATAGCATAGATCCAGTGCTTAGAAAGGCTTCTTATAGGGTTTTAAAGAGCTAAAAGATTTCATTTTGCATAAGAAACTTGAATAATCATTGTCAACACTCAGGACCAAGGGTTTAAATTAGTTTTCATTCAAGTCGATGAATGCTATTGCGATCAATTGAGTAAACATAAGCTATGAATATCAACGACAGTAACAACAAAGTAAAATTTCCAGACCTGGGAGAAACTTTAAACTTCTTTTTCTCACTTTCCTTTATGTTTAAGCATTTTCTGGACAGCTAAAGTATGAACTTTAACATCACTTTGAAGACCAATAAACACAAAAGAGCACATTTAAAAACTCTAGTCTTTTAAACCTAGATTATAATATTCCCTTTCAAAAACTGTAAAGTAATTATATAAAACAAAGAGAATATTCTAAACCTAGCAAGTAAACTATAGCTTTCCAGGCAAACAAAGACAAAAATTCAAGATCAGAGACTATCAATTCATTTGAAAACAACCCATGTCCAGATCTATCAATTTATCAAGCCAAAGTGTTGAAAAAGCAGAGAAGCAAATAAAAGATAGCGTAATTCAGCAAAAGATCTAAAGAAAGATGACGAGATAAGAAGTTACACAGCCAGTCGCCATTGTAGAAGTGCTTTCCTTGAGCCCAGACAGTGTAATTGACATTAGTGGTCCAACCCACGCCTCCCCCTCCAACAATGTACCTAGTAGCATCGGCTTGTGGCACTATTAACAGTAAAGCGAATCCAAGAGCTGCCATTTCCATCATCATCACCACTTTGCTTCTTTCCATTGCTGAGTTTACTGCTTCGCTTTGCTGTGAATTGGGTTTTTGCTTCTGGTTATGGGTTTTTAAGCAAATAACCAGCTAATGGTTACCAATAAAGAGAAAAAAAATGGTTTTTGTATTATTTTATTTTTTCCTTTTTGGGTAGTTTCTAGATTCGCAACTGCTTCGGATTTTTTATTAGTCGGAGATAATAATTTATTCAGAATCATATCTAGGGGTATTCATTCGGTTAAAACGGTGGCTGACCGAACCGAATTAATCATAACCGAATTAATCAAATTTTTTTTTTCTTTAACCGTTAACCGAACCGAATTTTTTTTCGAACATATTAACCGAACCGAATAAATTTCGGTTAATTCGGTTAATTTCAAATTAACCGAATTTTTTTTAAAATTTTCTAATTTATATAAAAATTAAATATTTTTTAATTCAAAAAATGTTTATAATTAATTTAAATAATATATAATTATAAAATAAAAATTTTAGATAAATTTTTTAATTAATTAATATTGATTTAAGTTTAAAAGTTATTGGATCTTAAATTATTAATTGGGTTTTAAATGGTTTGGGCTTAGCCCATATGTTATATATAATATATTAATATTTTTTAATTAAAAAACAGTTTACAAATAATTTAAATAATATATAATTATAAAATAAAAAATTTATATAATTTTTTAATTAATTAATATTGATTTAAGTTTAAAAGTTATTGGATCTTAAATTATTAATTAGGTTTTAAATGATTTGGGTTGAGCCCATATGTTATATATAATATATTTAATATTTAAAATTTAATTTCGGTTAATTTGATTAATTAACCGAATTCGAACCGAATTAACCGTTAACCGAATTTTTAAAAAAAAATTAACCGTTAACCGACCTAACTAATTCGGTAATCGAACCGAATTAACCGAACTAATTCAGTTCGGTCGGTTAACCGAATTAATTCGGTTATTTGAACACCCCTATATTTAATATAAAATTTTAAAATATATCTTTGATTCAATATTAATTAAATGATAAAGATTACGGATCAAATTAAAGCTTTGATTTAAGATTTAATGTTGATTCGAAAGCAAAGTAGAGATTAATGTGGGTGGGAAATATAGTTGTTGCCTATTCCATATCAACATCAATATCAACAGTATGCCATCAAACTGTTACTGAACAGCCACTCTAAACTTGATTACCTATACATTTTGATCTCCAATCCTTTCTCACATACAACAGCTAACAAAAACCCTTCATTCGGATTCGTCTAACCTTCTCAACAGGTACTCGACTTGGACTTCCTTTGTCAATGGCATGATCCACTCGCTGTACACGTCGGCCACCAAGCTTGGGTTTATTTTGCAAGTTGGGGAGTGATCGTCTTTGCAGATATCAACCGGCACTTCTTGTCCGTAAGTTCTGGTTTTCATTTCTACTCGTTTCTTGACCGATTCTTCCACCTTGGGGAATGTCAGCAAATTCATCAGCCTATCTCTATCCTACAGAAATTCAAGAACAAATAATCAAAACATACAATCCAATACAAGGCTTCAGTTAACTGTTCTGTGAATGAAACTAATAAACAATACCTGTTCTCTGATGGCAGCTTTATAATCTTCTGGAGAACCCCGGAATTTACATTCTGCTACAAATTTCCCGTAATGAATTCTCTTCGAAAGAGCCTGTAATGGCATAAATGTTAAGCATCCATCGCAATTTACCAGCTCGATGGAAGAACTGATCGGAACAGCAGGTATATATATACCTGCAAACACATGGTGTCACAAACGGCAGTAGATCCACAGTTACCGTCATCTCCTTCCTTGGCTAATTTCGGAACAATATTCTTGAAGTACATTTCCCACACTTTAGAGTTCATATTAATTGTATCAGCAATGGGATGCAGTACCTGTTTGATTCTCAGAAAAAAAAGGCTCCGGTAAGAAGTTAAAAACCTAGCAGAAGAGCGATGAAAGTAACGCCTCGTATCATTTTACCTGAGGATATGTCAAAGGTGGTAACAAGGGGTCAGGTAATTCATCCTGGAAGAATGGATGCTCGTCCGGGCTATTGTATCTGCCAACCTAATGTACAAATCAAAGGGTTTATCAGAAAAAGCACCGTGGATTTTGCTACACCTAATGAGTCTGCCATACCTGGGCATGAAGCTTTTCGGTTTCTCTAAGCATATACTCGACCAAAGAGCCATGGAAACCTTCCATTGAGAAGGAAGCAGGGTCATATGTACTCTGATTACGACAGTATTGAGCTCTCTCCAGAAGGCTAAAGATTATGCTGTCCTCTTGTCGAATTAACGAGTACCTCACGGCCTCGAGGGTCAAATTCTCGCTCACATCCACCCTTTGCTTTGTTACCGTTCTACAGAGAGGAAAACAAAAGCATGAATCACATTTGAACAATCTAAAAGCCAGAATTCTGGGTAAAGAACAAAAGAAAAGCCAAAAGGGTCGATTCTTTTTCATACTCAATAGAGTTGGAGGGAGCATGAACAGATTGGATTGCTTTCTTGGACAATCTTGCAGGGCATTGGAGCTTAAAGATGGGGAATTCTCTGGTTGGTGAAGTTAAAACAACACTAGTGGGTCTTGAAAACTTGGTTGCTCCAGGAACAGCAAACGAAGGTGGAGAAGAAGCACTCAACAACTTGGCCTCCATTGATCTTCAACAGAAAGATAGTAAAGAATGCAGAATTTCGAAGCTTTAAAACAATGAGTTGACTGAGGAAAATACGAAGGATATGTGTGTGTGTATATATATATATATATGCATATATGCACAGAAATATAAATTTTAGAAATTAAAAAAGAAAAAGAAAAATAACAGACTGATTCGCGGGTTCTTTGTGGTAGTTGAGTTGGGTGATTGAAAGTGGAAACGAAGGTTGTTGGAGAATGAGGTTCCAGAAGCTGCTTCTGTAACTGTTAACTGCCTCTGAATTTTTTCTGTTAGTTGCTGACGTCATATTTTATTATTATTTTTTTATTAATTTGACCTTTCATATATTCAACAGTGAATATATATTTCAACATGTGAATTCGGCTTTAAGACTAATTTAATACCTAATTTTTTTTATCCATTTAGATATTCAAATTTAGTTTAAGGCTTGATTCAAAATCTAAAAAAATCTAGTTCAAATACTTAAATAAAAAAATCAAGTATCAAATTAAATTATTAAATAAAATGATAAAAATCAATTTAAAATTTTCAAATTCAATGATCAACATTAGATAAAAGGTGACCAAACTTATAGTTGACCTACTTTTATGTAAATTTTTTTATTAAGATATAATATAAACTATTTGTTTTTTTGGAAAAAATAAATAACTTTTGGGTTTATTACGTTTTGGTCCCTATGAACATAAATGGTGAATTTATTAATGTGTCAACACTCAAAATTAACACGTGATAGTATCTTATTAGTCCACATGTAGATTAATATTAGATTTTAACACTATTATGGTGTAGGACCATATTGATAACAAAATTTAAACTGCAAGTATCATATTAGCCATTTTGAAAGTTTAGGGATTATATAAGAATAAATCTCAAATTTAAAGATTGTTATTGGTCTAATATTTTAGACGCCTTAATTTGAACATAATTCAAGGATCATCCAATTTAAAGATTTTGACGTCTTTTAGGAAGAAGAAAATCAAAGCAGTAAAGCGACAGCGTTTTGCCGTTATCTTCTTCCAGTTCTTTTCAGAAACCCTATCCATTCAATAAAAAGTGTTTTCCTCTACTACAACACTGCAACTCCTTGGCGCCATTAACAACGGCCACTTTTCTTTAAATCTCTGTAACAACCCCAGAAAAAGGGGGGAAATGAGTGCTTGCAATAGTCTAATTCGTACATATTTATCTAATCTTCATTGTAAACTTGACTTAAACCCTAAACCCTTCTCTCTTCCTCTTTCACTTCGCCCCCTTACTTCAGGTACGTTTCGTTGAATAAAACCTTCATTTTTTATGTTATTTGAAAAGACCATATTTTGTGTTTCTTAATTTCATGTTCTTTTAGTTAAATGCAATGCCTTTTTCTTTTCTGTTTATTTTTTAGTTAAATCTAGCGTCTTCCTGGAAGATATTCTTTATTTGGAGAACATCCTGGAGGAGTTAGATTAATTGTATGTAGATGAAATAAGCTGTTCTTTTATTCATCTTAATTTGGTTAAATTCAGTTCCTTTTTGCAGTCCAATTAGTGCTAGTAGAACCCGAACGAGGTCTTTCTCGGCTTTACAAGAAGTAGCCCCTTTAGAAGATGAAACCCCGGATGATTCGGCAAAGGACACCGTGGAACGCCTGCTGACTCACCAAGACGATGTTTCAAAGATGATGAAAATGGAGAGGAAATCGGGAATGGATATCCATAGTAAGCTTTGGTTTCCTTACTTCGATAGGTTTATCTGTGGGACTGAATCCCTGAGCAGCAGGGAAGTTATAGAGGCGATCGAACCTGCCTTGATGGAGGAGAGGAAAGAAAGGTTGAAGAGGGTGGTGAGAAATAGGAGCTATTCAGTTTGCTTAGTGGTGGAAGGGTTGTCTGATTTCGGAAATGTTTCGGCCACGTTCAGGTCTGCCGATGCCCTTGGCTTGCAGTCAGTTCATGTCGTATCATGTGACAGCTCGAAAAGGTGGTAAGACGATTGAAGCCAAGATGGGTCTTGTTTTTCGTTGTAGTTGTTTAATTCAAGCATTTTAAGTTGCTGTGCCTTCTATTCTTGTTGCATATTAGTAAATTCGTAGTTTGACTCTCTTAATGTCTTGTTTTTTTAGTTTGTTCAATCGATCAATTGCTTTCCTAACATCATTCGTCTATCCAGATACAGAGAAAACCGACATGTTAGCATGGGTGCAGAGAAATGGTTGGATATCGAACTTTGGAACTCTCCCAAGGAGTTTTTGAAGTTCTAAAATCACGCGGTTACCGGATCGCCACACACATAGGAATGGATGCGGTAATGATTTTTCCCACTTTTTCATGGTACTTCTTTCTAAAATATTGAACCTTAGGATAAATAAATGTATTTTATCATGTATCAGATTGCACTCTTTTTTCTCTCAAATCAGATTTTCAGTCACTGAAAAAAAAATTAAAATCCTTAGCAAGTAGATGGCCTTGGATGATCAAAGTTCGAATATTCTAAGTTGGGATACTAACATAACTCTCTATTTGCAGGTATCCATATATGACATGGATTGGTCAAGGCCAACTGCTATTGTAGTTGGGAATGAAAATAGGTAAATTTACATTGTTATCTTTGTAAAACTTCTCATAATTTCAGTAGTTCATTACAATATCAAAGATGTTTTATGTTTTTCTCATTTCAAGTCCATCCAACGCCTTGGTTTTTGTTGATGTGTTCCAAGTCTTGTAATATAATTATGTGTTGTTTTTATTTCTGTAATATGGCCAATTTTTTTTGCCATGGTTCTCTGTGCTACTCTTATCTTTTGATGTTCCACGTGGTTTATGTTACCCTGATTGCAGGGGAATAAGTGATGAGGCACTGGAACTGTCGGATTTGCATTGCAGTATTCCGATGAAAGGCATGGTTGACTCTTTCAATGTTTCAGTGGCCGCTGGCATAGTCATGCACCAAGCTGTATGTGACAGAACAATGCGCCTGGTAATATTTATTGCTTAAGTTCATAGATATATTGGTATTGCATGTATTGTGATTGTTCTATCTTTTATTGAATCTTGCTGGATTAAAGAGATAGTAGAAGATACCTGCATGAATCTATCTTTCCCAAAACTGACTGAACCTATTACACTGTACTTGTTTCTGCTCTAGTCTATAAACGGGATTTTTGTTGCATTGCGAATATTAGAAGTCTTTTCCTTTTGAAACTAAATATTCCTGTTTCAACTGGTCTCGGACATTTTCAACCATTTTTAGATATGAATCAATTCTTTTTTCTATGCACCTATGAATATCCTTGATCTATCAAGTCATGGAGGGTTTCTTGTTGATTAGTGTTCCAAACTTAGGGAGGTTGAAATGCATTTTTATCTGCTCATGTCAGTTTACTTTTGCCTATTTGCCATTGTTGTTCCGAGTTTCAGACCGTTTCATATCGAGTGCCATTGAGCCTTGAACTACATTAACTATTAACCAGAGATAAGCTCTCTCCCATTACAGAATGGTGGGTTCATTCCGGACATAGTTTACAAAATATGTATGCATTTAGTATTTGCAATAGTAGTAACTTCCTCATGAAGTTGTTTGCCTGCTTCGATTTATTTTAATTACATAGATTTCATCTGACACAGGGTTGCCATGGTGATTTGAGTGATGATGAAAGCCAAATCTTACTTGCGGAGTTCTTATTGCGTCATAATAATAGCTCGATCAACATAGCTCACGAGTATGCTAAGCGAAAGGCCCGTATACCTCCCATAGCAAGACTATGATGGAGCAGTCAAAGCAACGGATGATTTATGTACGATTATGATACATTTCATCTCCAAAGTCTCGGTAGATGTTGCAGCCAAGAAGTGAAGAACAGCAGTTTGATAAATTCATATTAAACCATCTTAGAAAGGAAGGGTGAGTGATTGAGTTAACTCAGATATGCTAGAGTTGTCAGATGCAATGGACTGAGTTAAAAGAATTGTGATTTTTTATTGTAGCTGATGCAGTATTCACAGTCTAGACAATTATAATGCAGAATTCTAGTAGTATATAAGCATGAGTATGGGATATGACACATTTAACAGATTTACTCTCCAGGGCGTAACGTTAATTTAGATTCGGATCGAATTTAATTCAATAAAAAAGTTCTGCCAAATCTGAGAGTACAAAACTTCTAACAATTTGAGTGTTTCCGCAGGAAAAAAAATCGAAATCATGAACTCACGTACAATCATTTATTGTTTCTTTCTTAAACAAGTCTTTTGAGTTTAGGTTTTAGAACAATTTCATTACTTCATCGTCATAATCAGATGACACAGACCCTGAGAGCCTCTGATTTGCCGGGCCGAATAGCAATTCGACACAGAATGCAGGGCCACATATCGATCTACCAGCAATCCCAACTTTGTCCAGATCCCGGATCTTAAACTGGCAAAGTTAAACGATGCAGTAAGTTTCTTGGCACATATCGGTTTATGAATCGCGGAAAACTTCTTGGAACGTACCTGTAACAAGCTGTTCTTGATGAAGGCCGTATTGAAACAGGCACAAAAAAGGCGGGCTCCGATCATTTTCTGGTAGAAAATGACACGCACGCCTCCCTTAACCTGTTGAATCCAAGCATATGATCGTATTCGAATTCATACATTAAGCATATGCATGTAGGTTAAACATCTGGCATTCTTCGAATTTGAGTTCGACATGATACAAAGCAGACACTAGTATATAGATGCAAAACTTTACAAATATGCAAGTGACTTACTTCAACAGATTTTTCGAAACAGTAGTCAAGACAATTCTTCTGATATAATACTGGACTCTCTGTGTCCATTTGGACTACGAAACGAGGCCCTTTCCATTCCGTTGCATCCCCCCTTCGACGTATGACAAGAAATACCTAGGACTGCAATTCCCTTCTGATCCTTTTTTGATTTCCCGACAGCAACTCTTGGCAGCTTCCACCGGTGGGCGGTACATCTGATCCGGGATCTGCCGAATAGGTTATAGGCACGTGAAACCAAGCTCAATTTATATCATGGCACTTTATTTGAATAATTAAGTTTACTTGGTGATACAAATGAACTAACCTCTTGGAGCTCGGAGACAACGAAGAAGACACAGTTGGTATTAACTGTATCGTAAAGCCGAATCTGCCGCAATACTTGGCTGCATGGTTGAGGCAAGTTCACTTCTGGAGGTCCGTTGCCAATTCCCCTAGGAAAAGGAAGTATCTTTTCCCAATACCCCACATAACGACGTTGGCTTGAAATAGAGACCTATCAGCAAAAGTGCAAAAACTTTGAACACAATAAAAACACTTCTCAAAAGCAAGACGATGCAATGAAATATATATATAAGAGCTATGTTATTCGAGCAAAGTATTTCGAGGAAATGAAGAATCGGAGCAACATAGTTACTTACCCCTTCATTGTTAGTGGTCCGCATTTGGGCGTATAACTGAAGTGCTTCCTCAGCTGACATTCCAGTGTGTTAGACTGTTAAAGAACATGCACGTGTATTGCTGTTAAAGAAATATGCACATGTATTAAGCAGTTAGTCTGTTAAGTGGTTAGCTGGAGTTGTTAGGCAGTTAGAGGAAAGCTGATGAGCATTGTATCTCTTATAAATTGGTGTACTTGTTGATATGAAAGATCATCCTTTTCCTGTGTAAATACACCATTGAAATTAGTTTTCTAATACAGTGTAAACAAGGTATGCACATACCATTAAGCCTGTTCAACCTTTGCCTGCGTGCAAATTCAGTGGAGAATGCAAGCTTTAAAAACAAGAACGTTACATAAAAACTTGGATTTAAGTATAACCGGTGGATAACGGTATGTGTTCGACATGAATATGTTCAATTTTAGGAGTTAATATCATGCAATGCACGACTGCAATATTTTTATGGTCCTTTGATAGCCATGAATGAACACTCTCACAGAACTTCTTCATCATTTCGAAGTGGGGAACATGATTGTCATCGAAAGGGAACCACTCGACTCGACCATGAAAGTGTGATGGATCATAAGCTTCTTCTATGCACACATTATAGACCTTGCAATGCCCCTGATGTCTCATTTCCAGCACAGACTTGACCTGCCACAGAGGATTCCGATACACCGCTCGCATACGTTCGGCAGGGAAGGACATTGCCAACACACGATCGGTTATATAAGACATGTTGAGATCGTATCCGCCGACTACGATTCACCTTCTTTTCTTGGACACCAAGTTCCGGTTCCAAGAACTTGCCGAAAGATAAGAAAAGATTTGACGCGGAAGAACAAGAGTGGTGTTTTCACCCTTCAGCAGCCCTGCCATGGAAAACTTCAACCCCATTTGCTGATACAAAGAAGAATGCTTTGGATGCGAGCAGGAGATGAATGTTGATGTTGATGATGAAGACCATCTTTCATATAAGTGGGACTTTTGACTGTTTTATTCTAATTTTGATGAAACTGTGACATCATATTTGGAGCAAATCCAGGCAATTTACACAAAAAAGTGTAAAAACATGTCAACAAAATTACAGTTGGGGTAACTGAAATTTGTAGGACGGTTCGTTTGGGTGTCCTTTTTACAATTTTTCCAAGCTGTTTTCCTGTTCCTTTATATTTAAATACTAAATTGATAATTTAACTATAATTTAAGAGTCAACTTAGCCCATTTAATTTTAACATAATGTCAAATTAGTGTCTAATATTTGCTAAAATGATCGCTTTGATCATTGTTCTTTGAATATTTTAACTTCTAATGTTTTATTTTTTAATCAAAATAATATATATTAGATAAAAATAATTAATTGACTAATAAGTATGTTACTGACATGACATTTTCATATTTGTTTAATTAGTAATATATCACGTGTTACATTACCACTTTAGATAATATGACACGTGTCACATTAATATCATGACATGATATATATCAGATTATCACTTTGAATAATATGATGTATATCACGTCATCATTTTGATAATGTAATATATAGATTATGAAATATCATCAATTACATATATATATATATATATATATATATATATATAAAATTATGCGTTAACCTCAATCAACTAATGATTTCAATTTAACCGAAGTTATTTTAACTAAAAATTAAAACGTTAAAAATTAAAATATTTAAAAATATATATTAAAATTAAAATAACCATTTATACAAACATTATTAGTCAGACTAATTTTTCCATTCCTTTTGTTTCATTATTTTTCCCATCCTCGCATAATCCAAGTTGGACTATGAACCTCCACGTGTCGCAACCATGTCTCGTATTACAACAAGTGCATCTTGTCTTTGTCCTCCTTGCAAGAACTTTCTGGTTATTGTTTCAAGTTAAAACTGCAAAATTAACGAAACAAAGATTCCCAAAAGGGAAAAAGAATGGTGGCAGTCATTGCTGTTTCTTCTCCAAAATCAACTCTTTTTCATAGTCCAATCTATTTAAGAGATTCCAATTCGAGTTTCCTTGGTAATTCCTTGAAGGGATTTTCTTTACAGTTGAAACCAAGAAGAAGAAAGCGAAAAGAATGTAATTTCAGCTTGGTGATTGCTTCAGCTGGTTCTGGTTCCAGCACCGCCGCAGCTTGAAGCGATAGCGGTGGCTCCGCCAACAGGTTTTACTTTAACTTCACCGGCTTCCCTTTCCCCCTTGGCCCTTTTCTTAACAGGCGCACTACTAGGACTGAGGTCAGTTTTTTCTTCTTTAACTAATGTCATACAAAAGTTTGAATTTTGAAGTTTAATCGATCGATAATTTCTTATACTGATTCTTCTTCTTCTTCTTCTTCGAGTTTTTGTAGGCTGTGAAAGGCTCTATATGGCTATCCGAACAAGAGCAAGCTTTAGGGTTCAGCAGTGTGTCCACAAACATTCGGATGACGGTCATCAAACTCAAATCCGGGGGACTATCGGTTCATGCACCTATAGCCCCTACCAAAGAGTGCATCGAGGTTCATTTTTCCTCTCTAAATTCTCGATTTTTCGATTATGCATCGATTTCGTAAGACTTCGATTGCAGCTGGATTGAGGAGGAAAATGAAAACAAGAAAATTCATTGATTTGCTTCATCTTATAAGATGAAAATTCATTGTCTGTTATTTGTTATAGAACCGCAAGTTCTATGGTTAAATCATTCAGTCCTAATAGTCGGACCGAATGAACTGTTGACTCAAAGGCATCACTGGTTTGACCTCTACTCCGGTTTTGCTCTTTAACGAACTTCTTCTGCATTATCTAACAAGGGATTTATCTGTTATGAGCATAAGATTGGGTGGGTCCATTCTCTAGAAAATTTCCAAAGGCTCAAGTTTCGGGATTTTTCGTGCCAAAATCTTGAAAAACGAGGATCCATCGACTCCATGGGCGGATGAGATTGAACAGAAAGTTCTCAGCTCACCAGAAGTTGGCAAGTAAAGTTAAATGAGCTGCTTTCAATTATACATCTAAAGATGTCCAAGTTCGAACTCGATTACCTTGAACTATTTCAGGAATTGGACCATACGTAGAGGTTGCTTTCTATCATAAACGTTCGAGAACACTTCTGGTTACAGACGCTGTCATATATGTTCCGAAAAAGCCACCGGAGAGTATCAACAAAGAGTACCTCTTGGCATCAACCATAAATGGATTGGCAGTGAAGATTCTTAGCAAAGGGAAGAAAGTTATTGATGAACCAGTTGCTGACAACGAAATAAACCGTAAAAAATTAGATTTTCATTATTTCGAAGAAGAGCTCAAATACTTTCAAATAATCAAATTAGTTTCATAAAACTTGAATATGTTCACGTATACGAGAACTTGAATGAGAGTAATGCATGATGTCGCAGGATGGGAAAGAATGGTTCTACAGATACTGCTCCTCGGTCCGTCGAATCTTTTGGAACCAAAGGCTAGTTTTGCTCAGATGTCTCAAAAGTTTATTGTTTCTCCAATTGTAAAGACACTAGTTTTCAGCAAAGTTCCAGAAAAGGTAAGAACTTAGAGCCCTTTTGATCTATATTATATGTTATCCCGAACTTAGAACCAAAGGTAAGTATCTTTACTGGTTTTCTCCAATTGTCAAGAACCCCTGGCCTATTTGATTTAGGGTGTAACTGTTTACTATCTTTCATCCTTCTCCAAAATTCAGGTTCGGGATTGGATTGACGGCATTGCAAGGGACTGGAAATTTAAGAGGATAATCCCAGCACATTTCACAGGACCGATCAAAGCAGGCCGAGCTGAACTGTTAGCTGCATTTGCATTTCTTGATGATCTTTTGGGTGAGCGTTATGTGACTCGGCCTTCACTTTCTCTTCTCTTCACATATCTCATGGGGAAGGCAGCCAGTTACTTTCACACCAGATGATACGAGGACCTTATCATCACTCGATGAGTTTTCAGTGTCTGTCAGAGCTGTTAAGAAGACGGTCTCAGGTCGGAAACGATGACCTGGAGCTCCTTAACTCGCAGAAACTTAGATATATCTAAGCTTTTACATATTCGTATACCATTTCACAATTATGCAAACATGTTTACAATCTCAAGGACAACAAAAACAAGATTTTTGATTACCCTTTGAGATTTTACTGTTTAATTGAAATTATATGCAAAAATGAGATGATGAAATATTGGCAGCATTTGCAAAAAAAAGGTCCAACATGAATCTTTATAATCAGTTAAAAGTATGACAACAGCCAACATGAGTTCAATTACAAGATAAAATACGATATTATACAAGGGAAGACGAACCAGAAACACAAAAATGCATTTGATGTAACGAAATTGGACAAAATCTGCGATTCAATAACTTGAAACGAGAAAAGTGAAAGGAAATGATGGATGGTGACCGGCTAAACAAATAAGGTGTAATCTGGAAGCAAAAAACACGACCTATATGATAAATCTGCAAGATGCTGACCACCTTCGTCGATCGGAAAAGTCTCCAAGTTCATCTTCAATACCAGTTCCAGCACTCCTCATCTGCAGAAAATTTTGGATGGAACTTAGTTTAAAAACCAAGGGTTATGTTATGTTCGTTGCAAAAGAAACAGTAGAGTAACGGAAAACTACCTGAAAATGATGTCATGCTTTCGGCGAGCTGTGGATTATAATATGACACATACACATTTTTTCTGCCGTGCTTGATTTGTTGCCTTATTTTCTGCTTGATAAAGAAAGAAAGATAATTCAAAACTGTATATGAGAAAGTTCAGATTACAATGTTTGGATCCCCACAGATAATAACTGTACCTTTCTCTGAAGGAGGTTGAACGACAACATGCATCGTCGTCAACGCGTCAGGAATATCACAAAGTGGGCTTTGGCACTCCCCCAGTGCTCTGTTGTTCTCCAATATTTTTCCAGCACTAATTAACTTGAGATCTTTCACTGTCCTTGGACCATTCTCCTTCTCTGCACAAAATTAAACAAGTGTGATTACATGCTTGGAACAACTTTAACATGACAATGCACACAAAAAAGAAGGCAAAAACAAACAAACAGGAACGATATACTAGCATAAATATTAGAACTTCAGCCCAGAACATCTTGAAAAAGTTTGAAAACCCGGCATCCGACAGACACCCATTTCCAATAAAAACACCAATGATGCACTGAAGCAAACCGAAAACCAGTACAATATGTTGGTTTAAGTGATAAGAAAGAGAAATATTCAATGACAGACTGACTCATCAAATGATACAAGTTCGGATTTAGTCGAACTTCGAACTAACCTTTATGCCATTGTGCAAGAACACTTTCCTTCAAGGTTGCAACACTGGTGGCAGCAGGAAAGGTTTTGGGACCGATATCCGGTCCATCAGTCAATCTAAACTTGATCTCCAATTGATCTTGAACACTAGCCATCTCCAGGAATCAGGAACCTTGAAACTTGAAAATCCCAACTCCTCGAGATCTTTACTTGGCCCCTTCTCCTTTATTGTAAACAAAAACCTCAAAAGGTGGCATTCAACCAGTTCAAAATTCGAATACCAGCATCTGCGACTCCTTTCGATAAGAAAAAGAAAAACTGAATCACTGAACTCAGAAACAAGGTAGTAACAGATATGCAAGGGAACTATAAAAGGTAGCAACTTCAAGATAGATTTGATAACTGTTTCAAAGTAAACCAAAATGGGTAAATCCAAAGATAGAACATAATCCACTGCAAAATTTTTAAAGCACGAGAAAAAAACAGTTCAAGACATAGAATAACACATTAAAATCACAAATAAGTAAAGCGTCAACCAATATTTAAAGAAGAAAAAATCTCAAAACCAAGAGAAGCAAACCAGCCAAATCCCGACAATTGATCACTCTGATATCGAACAAACACTTAAAAGCAGTGCAAAAGTTTAATGGGTCATCTTACTTGTTCCAAAACTGATCTGGGTTGGTTTTTGTTGGCTGAAAAATCCAAGCTTCGAAGAACAAGAAAAGCCGATTGGGTTGCTTTGATATAATTATTAAGAATGCTATTAGATCAAATCAATAAACGAAGAAGAGATCAAATAAATCTCTACAAACGAGGATGTCTCGGAGTTTCCTAAATCTATGGTCAATGATTCCATATTCTTGCCTTGTTCTCGTAGAGCTATGGAATTTGGACAATTTTTTCTTTTTCTAAAGATAAAAGTAAACTCTAACATGTTTTGCATGCAACATCACAACCATTGGATTTTGATATTCGATCATCTTGGTTCTTTATTTGCTGCTTCCGCGTGAAAATCAGCATTATATTTTTACAAAACAGCTTTTAATCTTTTAAATTTGATAAAATTTTAATTATTTTGATAATATAACACTTTAAAATTATATTATATGATACAAGTTCAAAATTTTACATCATTAACATAATCAAATCTAAGAGTAGGACTAATCTGATAAAAAAATAAAAATCAAATAAAAAGATTATCACAATTAAAGACTAAAAATATACTTCTGTCTGCTGTGAACTAGGTACAAAATGGATAAACTCTTTTTTTTTTAAAACTATTTATTAAAATAATTTAAAAGGAGAATGTAATTAGTGATTAAAATAATCATTAAATATATATTCTTCTTAATTATTAACAGGGTCCATAGCTCAGTTGTAGAGCATTTGACTGCAGATCAAGAGGTCATCGGTTCAAGTCCGGTTGGGCCCTAAATTGCATAAATATTTTTAAACAACATCTAAAATCAAGAGGGCAAAAAGATAATGAAAGCAATAAAAGAATATAATTTTCTCATTGGAAAGGAAAAATAGAGTCTAAGTTGTCTTTCCACATCATTGAACCATTTCTAATCTGTGTATTTGCACCTCAGCTTATTCCAAAGAAGTACGTAGGAAAAGCAGTATGAGAACCCAGAAAAACATTGCTTGCTATGTTACAAACTAACAGAATCCCAGCAGGTCCTTCCTAAAAAAATGTTAATAGAACCAATCAATCCTGTTGTCAAAATTGTTGCTTTCTTGGCCAATTTGTAATCTCACCTTCTTAAATAAGCCTCCAGAAAATCTTCAGGCTGCGATAAAACTAACCCCACTCGACTTGCTTGTGTCTCTTCTACGTATTCCGTTCCTTCTAAACCCTCTAGTTGCTTAACTACCATTGCAAAATGTGACAGCTCCTAACAAAGTCATTGGAGTAGTTCACATACTTGGTCCAAAATGGCCGAAGGTGTTCGAAGCCAATCTCCAACCATGGTTTTGCCTGGCCGTTGTAATGAATAACTGCAGCTCTCTTCACGTTCTCGATCTTGGTCTTACTCTGATAGCCCAAGCCTAGCATATGCCATGATGAGTCGATAGGATGAACATAGCCTCTAAAAGCAATCAGAGCAGGTGGTAGAGTTCCAAGCTTCCACATGGTCAAGTTTGACTTCAGGTTCTGCCACAAACAAACCAGCAATCAGAGTAAAACTGTAAGAACCAAATACTAATCAATCAATTTATTGTTATGGTCAAGTTAATACTTGAAAATTATTCAAAACGAAATGAAATTCATTTTTTCAGAAACAATGCCCTAAACGAAACATGCCAAGATCATCAGATATTAAGGAACGAAGGCAATGATGATATTTCATTGGTCTGAATCCTCTGGCAAAAAAGTCTATGATATTTCATTTCCAGTGCTCAAAATAATATTGTGATAGTCACCATGAGTTAAAATCCAAAAGGAAAGGGAAAGATCAAATCACAGAAATAGTCAAGAAACTTAGTATGTGATAAGTTACCTCTCTCAGCCAGAAATGATATGTTTCTCTTATATTTGTTTTTCTCCATGCACGGAGATCAAGTATATTCATTCCATAAGCCCATGCACATTCATCAGGATCCAAATACTTGGCTATAAGGGGATGAGAAAAGTTAAAGTAGGTTTTGAAATGTTTTGACATGACCCACTCATCTTCACCTTTACAAGTTTCTATAGCTCCATTAACCTTTCCTTGTAGATCAATCTTCCAAAGTGGAGACAAATCACGTTGGATCACAACATCGTCATCCAAAAAAACTATTTTGTCGATGTCTGGAAAGAGCTGTTAAAAACATACAACCAAACAGACATTTAGAAGGGAAGACATTGTGCTATAAATGAAACTGTCCATGTAAGATAAAGAAAGAAATTGGTATAGCTACATCTAATTACCTCGGGTAAATATATCCTGAGATGGTTGAGCAAGGATATGTACTTTGGGCTTCTCGCCTGCAATTTTGAAGCGAATTTTCGAGGAGAAGTATCAGAGAGATTTGCCCCTGCAATATGATTTCCATGATAGTAATTTCTGATACCATCATGGCTCTCTACTGCTTCAAGCACTGGAACATTCTCTCTAGTTAACCAATCAAACTGGTGAAGACCTTTCACTTCAACTATGATAGGTGCTACTGGATTTAGTGCAAACCAAGCATGCATACCCGCATAAGTTTTCTTGTCAGTGATGACATGAAAGACGACCTTTTCAGGTTCTAGTGATGACTGGACAACAGAAGTAACAACTACAGATGCAGCCAATATGTTGTCCGTTGACAAGACAAAGTGGCAGTAAGAGTTATTAGAGAGCACATGGAGGAGCTCAGGTGGAGGTAGTTGTTTGCGTGCATAGGCATTGGTAGAGTATTCATCAGTTAAACGCAAAGAAAGACAATATAGGCCTTTTGGTATAGAACTTGCAGCAAAGTGCCTATTTGTCAGCTCTGAAAATTTAGATTCCTTAATTTCTCTTTCAAGTTTCTCCATCTGTGTATAAAAGACAAAAAAGAAACTAAGTAGAAGTTCACCAAGCTTAGATATTATGAGAAAATTAGAATCCATAAAAAATCTATATTCAAATATTTAATTTCTGAACATTTACATTTGTCAACTTTTTAAATATATAAAAGATAATATAATTTAAAAAAAGAAAAAAAAGTAATTTCAAAGTAACAATCTTTATGCAGAATGGCAATACCATTGCTCTTAACGAGAATGCAAAATTCTTTGCGTCATATTGGTTGTTCTTCAGTTCAGAAACTAGTTGACTAAACGAATCTGGAAGCTTTAGACCATCAGGGATTTCCTCAGTGATTACTTGATTGAGGATCTTATAAAAGTCCTTAACTAGTTTCTGCAGCAGAAGCATTGTAACCATAAAAAACAACTCTAGATAAATGGCTGTCGATAAGACAAAACCAAAAAAGCAGTTCTTGTATGGAGAGAACGGGATAGTTACTCCTGAATCATCAACTCTCCCAAGAAACCTCGGTCCTAGGTGTCTGCCTAAGCAATCTGGGCATAGTAGACCAAAAAGAAAAGTCATGGACTCAAAGATAATATTATAAAAAGTAAAAGACCATATAAACACTAAGAAGTCAACAAGAAAAGTTGACCAAGTTCTTCAAAGGTCAGTCAAATTTACTCTATCTAACCACTAAAATGCATTGACCAGAAAAATCAAATAACACAAGTAAAAAAAAACCTGACTTACAAGCAACCGATTTCAAGCATCAATGAGGCACTATTATATAAGTCTGGATTAACTAGTTCTAATCAACATCCAAGGTCTTTCTATCAAGAAAATAGGTGCTCAAATTCAAACATTAAATACATAAATATACTATTGAAAAATTGAAAAATCTAGTCCAAAGTTTACCTATCCCAAATAAAAATAAGAATCAACAAAGAGCATGAATTATAAAATAACCACTAACTTCGGAGGCCATTCCAACCGAATTATAGACATTAGAAATTGTTAAAATATATTAACTGAGACCATGAGGCAATAAATGCTATTGAACTTCCAGAACTATCTGCATAAGTCATCTGATACCCAAAGCGTTTTTATTAACAAATGAACTGCACTGACCTGAGATTCAAACCAACCAATAAAATTAAGTCCAATAAACTCATTAAGAAATCTATTTTTACTGTATTTGGATCCTATAACAACATAAACTGTTAATTTTCAGCACTAATGTATATAAAATAATCATCAAAATACACGGCAAAAGAAATGTTTAAGGATCAAAGTAATCATGACCGAAAACAACCCACATATCCTAATCCATCTGTAATCTAAAAGTAACCAACATATTAATGAATTAGCTCCATCCAGACACTAAATCGGATTGAAAGCAATCCAATTAAAACCGGAGCATCATAAATATGAACCAAACCAAAGAAAAGCAAGATTGTCCCTTACCCCTAAATCAAGAGCGTGAATAAGCACACATATAAACAAACGGGGATCGAGATAATCCAAGATTCCAAGAAACAAACCATTTCAACTAAATTACGATTATACGAAGATAACAGAGGAACCAAGTTCCAATATATAGTCCGATTGGATTCATTCATACCCTAAACCATATTGACATGAATCCAGAAAATGAGGGCATCACAACATCAACCAAAATCACATGAACAAAGTAAGAATCGGATAATTAAGATTCCAAGAAAAGCCTAACAGATGATAGAACTAACATCAAATGCATAAAGAAAAGCCAAATGTATACCAAATACACATGAACAAATTAAGAATCGGATAATTAAGATTCCAAGAAAAGCCTAACAGATGATAAAAGTAAGATCAAATGCATAAAGAAAAACCAAAGCAAGCCTAATCAAGATCTAACTGAAAAGAAGAAGAAAAAAAAAGAATGTTAAGAGATTAAAAGAAAGGGTACCAAGTGAGGAGCACTTGTTGGCACCTTCAAGGGTAACAAGAGCAGTAAGAATGAAGACAAAAGGCAACAAGAAAGCGAGAATGAGAATGGTGTGGAACAGGGTCCGGTAGGAAATATGCCTAGCTGCCACTTTGATCTTCATTAAGTTTGTAAACCCATTGTTGCTTGATATCTTTATACTTCTCATGCTAGGCGAGATGTGAAGCTGCATCCTTCTCTATGCGGCCCCACCACATATAAACAAATCTTCTCTACTCTATCCAAAAACGCATTCCCTCGCTTTTCAATATAAAAACCAGCTGCCGCTGCTTCACAATCTCTCACTTTGCTCCTCTCCACACCCAGTCCAACCACTACCACCATCAGGTCCAATCTTTGATTTTTTGATCTGGGTTTCCTCAAAAATTCTCCCCTTTGTTGTTGGTTCTTCTGACAAAGACCCCCACCGCATTGGATTTTTAACACCCACCAAAATTTGGATTTCTTTTCTCTCTATTTATTGAGTCTGGGTCGTGATTATTGAAGCTTAAACTTTGTTGTTTTGTTGTTTTCCCATGGATCAAGATGGAAAGGATAAGAATGAATGAATAAGGAAAAATAGGTAATTTACCCTTTTTGGTTCCAATAGAACTTTTCAAATCGGTGGATCAATTCATCAACTTGAATTTTCTTTAGAAATTAAATAAATTAATATGTTAGTTTATTAAAAATAAACAAATAAAAAATGATAATCAGATTTTTTGCTTAAGAAAATTGATTTTGAGGAGTCAAAATGTTGGATTTAGAGCCAGATAAATGTGGGGATGAGTTTGACCTTTGGACTAAATTTAGAGAGAACATTTATATGTGGGTATTATTTTCCTAATTTTACTTTTTAAAAATATTTTATATTATTACTGATAAATTTATGCTACTTTTACAGTGATTATATAATCATATTTCAATTTGAAAAAATTACATCTAATTCTTTTAAATTTAAATTAAGGTATAAATAGTTTTTGAAATTAAATTAACAGTCAATCGATTTATTTTTAAATATGAAAAATATTAAATTTTAATAAGTACGTGTCACAAATATTATTACATTTAAAAATTAACAAAATCTTAGATTAATCGGATTAAAATTAAGAATCGTTATTTTATTGTGTCGTCCTATGTCTCAGGAAAGGCGGGTTAATATACGGCGTTACCGGATACATTAAAAGATATTTAACAAATTCGATTTAGTGCTACCGGAAATGTTGACTAATAATAATGTAGTAGGCCTAAGTCATGAAGAAATATTAAAAAATTGTGCAACCGGCAAACTTAACTTGTCGGTTCGTGTCGATCCAAATTAAAAATGTATCGATCCACAACGATATAACAGGTAAAACTATGACAAAACAGGTATTGAAAAGATGAATCCGGTAAAGCGGTACCGGATATATTTAAAGTGTCGGTACTTTAATATAAGGATCGACACTTCGTTAATTTAAAAGAGAAGTAGTTTTAGCGCCTATAAAGTGTCGATACTTTAAAAAAAATGTATCGATCCACAACGATATAACAGGTAAAAATATGATAAAACCGGTATCAAAATGATGAAACCGGTAAAACGCTACCGGATATATTAAAAGTGTCGATACTTTATATAAGGATCAACACTTCGTTAATTTAAAAGAGAAGCAATTTTAGCGCCTATAAAGTGTCGATACTTTTAAAAAATGTATCGATCCACAACGATATAACATGTAAAAATATGATAAAACCGGTATCAAAATGATAAAATCGGTAAAACGCTACCGGATATATTGAAAGTGTCGATACTTTCGTAAGTACGTGTAATAAATTATCGATACTTTCAAAGAAATACGTAATTATCCTTTCGAAAGTATCGACACCTTACATAAAAGTATCGACACTTTTGTATTTGTATCGATTAAATATAAATAACATATCCGATGAAAATATAAATGCCATAGCTAAATATCCTCTAAAAATAGATAGAACGGAAGAGTTTTTAAAATCGAAGCGTAATTGTTGCTGCATTTCAGAAGGCGTTTCTAAAGCGAAGTTTGTTTGTTGCTACAGTCGAATCGAAAAGTATGTTATCGAAACCCTAGTTTTTTATTATTACAGTAATCGCGAATAGGGTTTTTATGTGTTGTTTGGGGTTTTGGAGTAAAGAAGCATTTGGGACCGATTGTAGGTAGAAAGTGATATTCAAGGTAAAATATAGATGTCGATACTTTTATTAAATATTATAGGTAGAAAATGATATTATATGTTGTATAAATGTGCCGACACATTTTGTAGTGACCATTCAAATTCTTTTGAAGAAAACCGTTTTACCACAAGAGTAGTTATCTATATTTGTATATTGAATAAAGTGTATGTAACAAAATAATTTGATTTGCGTAAACTTATATATGAAGGAAAAATGAAGTTAATGGGTTGGAAAATTGTTGCGCAGATGACTTTGAAATTGAGGTCGAGACTTGAAAGTAACCAAAGGGTAGATATATGTACTTCTAGTAAGTATCAATGTCTTTTTGTTATTATTGTTGAAATGGTAATTGGATTAAAGTATCGATAAACTTTAAATTGATTACAAATTTTAAATGTTGACAGTATGGCCGAATGCAAAAGGATGAAGGAAGATGGCACACATAGCGGTTCGGTATGTAAAATGAAATTGACATTGAGTATTATTTAGTGTTAATGTATTGATTAAGAAACGTTTATGTTTAATATTAGGTGACAAAAGATGTGAGGTCCAAATGGAATTCGATGAGTGATGCTGAAAAGGAACCTTACATCACACAGTCAAGGAATGATAGTAAAGAATACAAAGAACGGAGGAAAGCACATGAAAATAAGGTATTCATTAAACTTGTAAATACGTTGATACAAAATATATAAGAACTATAACATTATATATTTTTAAAAATGTAGGAAGTGTCGACAAGATGCAGCATTAAAAGGGTGAATTCATTAATTAAACACCTTAAGGAGAAGGGTCAGTTGAATGTGCTGGGAGACATAGGTTTTGGATCGTTGGTAGGAGTAAGGGATCGACCTATTCGGAGGGAATTGTGTCGATCCTTGATGTCGCAATTTGATGTCAGACAATGTATTGCTAAGTATGGTGATTTTTCATTTCCTCTCGGGATCCCATGTGCTGCAGCCGTATTGGGGGTAGAAAATGAAGGCAAAAGTGTTGTAGAAGTCTGTAAGAGTAAGGACTGGAAAGCACTTGCCTCCAAATATGGTTTGAAGCAGAAGGTGACATATGCTGAAATTGAAGAGAAAATAAAAAGTGGATCTTACGGGGGGGTGAGCTGAAGGCCAGAGTTCTATTATACCTTGTCAGTATCTTTCTTTGTCCAACGGGTGATACGTCAACGAACAAGGAATATATGAAGCTCATTTGCGATGAAGGGTATGAGATGTTATCATAAATAGAAAGCTTAATTTATGCAGGATTCATCATAATTGACATGTGTGGTTTTCAAATTTTGTAACAGACATGATTGCGGTATGTATGTGATGATGTGGATGGAATCGATCGGTTCTACAGGGGCAACTGGTGATTTTGTAAGTGGAAAGAAAAATTCGTTTGTGGTAAAATTGTTAAAAGTCGTAGATTGAATGCTGTAGTTTACAATACTTAACGTTCTGACAATTTGAATATAGGTTGTTGGAGAGTGAGATCGATCGCGAATATTAAACGACCTCGTATGCCACAATCAAAATCAACGAAGACAGGAGATAACAAAAGCTGCCATGAGACATAAGAATAACAAAAGGATGTAATGATGCAAATGTAGGGTTAATTTTGTATAAGATTTATAATTTTGTATACGATTTATAATTTTGTATGTGAATGTAATTATGAATGAGATGAGAAAAGTTAGCAGTAGGTTGTTGTACATGTTTCTTATACACATTAAGAGTCATGTTGATACTTACGATATATGGAGATTGTTGTCTGTATTATACCAAATGTCATCATAATTATCATCATATGCGAGACTGAATGGCCATTCCATATTGAGGGTATGTACAATAACTACAAAATTAACTTTAAAGTAAAAGGTAAATTTACAATATGGTAAACAGGGTGCAACCATAAAGTTTCGATCCATATATAAAAAGTGTCGATCCCAGAAACATCGAAACCCATAAGTATAATGTAATAGGTAATTTTTCAATCTAACCGGTATAAGTATACCGATTTTATGAGAGATTAGGTGTAATATATGTATCGACACTTTTTAATTTTGTGTCGATACTATTGGTCCAGAATGAATGGCAAACAGGGTGCAACCATAAAGTGTCGATCCATATATAAAAAGTGTCGATCCATATATAAAAAGTGTCGATCCCAGAAACATCGAAACCCATAAGTACAATGTAATAGGTAATTTTTCAATCTAACCGGTATAAGTATGAGAGATTAGGTATATAATATGTATCGACACTTTTTAATTTTGTGTCGATACTATTGGTCCAGAATGAATGGCAAACAGGGTGCAACCATAAAGTGTCGATCCATATAAAAGGTGTCGATCCAGAAACATCGAAACCCATAAGTATAATGTAATAGGTAATTTTTCAATCTAACCGGTATAAGTATACCGGTTTTATGAGAGATTAGGTATATAATATGTATCGATATTTTTTAATTTTGTGTCGATACTATTGGTCCAGAATGAATGGCAAATAGGGTGCAACCATAAAGTGTCGATCCATATATAAAAGGTGTCGATCCTAGAAACATCGAAACCCATAAGTATATGTAATAGGTAATTTTTCAATCTAACCGGTATAAGTATACCGGTATGTAAGTATCGACACTTTGTGTCGATACTATTGGTCCAGAATGAATGGCAAACAGGGTGCAACCATAAAGTGTCGATCCATATATAAAAAGTTTCGATCCCAGAAACATCGAAACCCATAAGTATAATGTAATAGGTAATTTTTCAATCTAACCGGTATAAGTATACCGTTTTTATGAGATAATAGGTGTAATATATGTATCGACACTTTTTAATTTTGTGTCGATACTAATTTAAATATCGAGTGTTTTCCCCCGTTCATTATATATAGTATACAAACTCTAAATCGACAAACCCTAAACCTAAAGGTAAGCAGGCAGAAGAGAACTCTTCCTCTCCGAAGAATACTAGCGTTATCATAACAGTGACGACCATATATTCAAGTAAATGTATCGATATTTTATGGGTTTGATTGATTTCTATATTGGAGTTTTTTTCCTGAATGTGTTTGTGTTCCATTGTAATAGCATCAAACCAAAATGGCTCCAAAACGTCAGCGTCAGAAGTGCGGTCTTTCTCAAAGCTCTTCTCAACCACAACCTCCTTCTGAAACAAACGATTCTTCTGAGGAAATCAGGTCCTTCGAAACTCTAAACTTTAGATCCGATATGGAGAAACAAAGATGGCAGACGAGTTTTAAAGTAAGGAAGATTCGTCCCGAACGTGTCATTGACATGGGTTTCTTGTTTGATGATAAATATGCATTTAGTTTTAAATCCACATTTACATCTTGGGGTTGGCTTGAATTCCTTGGTGTAGAACCAAAA